ACTCCCCTAACCCCGTCCCTCACAACACTCCCCTCACCCCGTCCCTCACAACACTCCCCTCACCCCGCCCTTCACAACACTCCCTTCACAACACTTCCTTCACAACCCTTCCCTCACCACCCTTCCCTCACACAAGGACTACTTGGCTCGGAATCATTAATACTGTGTCTGAGTGGGGTATTCACGTTAACCTTGGTATGGTATCTCAGTGGGAAAGCATTATCAAATCAGCATTAGTCAGGACAAGTACAAGCAGCCACACTCAAACGCGTGCATGCACATGTCTATTTAAGTTCAATAATCCTTAACGCAAAGTTAAACCCCATTTCACTTAACCTCAGTGCTATTAGTAATTATAATTTGAAAAGTCTGAAATCTTTCGATGCCGGCAGTTGAACAGCGGAGATCAAACCAACGACCTTGCATTCAATCTATCTTCTTGACCACGGAGTCGGTATGACTGTAAGAGTACAGTTGACCAGCGTTAGTGGCAGAAATATCAGTGTGATTGTCATTTCATTGCAACATCATGGGGTCATTGTGGAAGAGCTGAACGGCGATTCTAGAGGCATTCCCTTGCATTGCCTATATGTCGATATAAGGTCCACGTTACACCTTCCATAAACAGTTATATATCACAATATATTTTTTTCTTTGCTTACTCAAGGTCCACACTAATCCCTGTGGATACGAGGTCTGCAATCTGACTTCCCGATCTGTGATGGTTGGATGTAAACACGTCTGTCTGGAAGGTTGGTGTCTCTATCAATTTATTCACTAGAGCAAGAGTTGGGGTTACAAACCTTGACCATCGATCCAAAACCCTATTTACAATAAACAGTTTTATGTCCGGCTGATTGATGTCCGGCTGATCGATGTCCAGCTGATAGATGTTCGGCTGATTTATGTCCAGCTGATTTATTTCCAGCAGATTTATGTCCAGCTGATCGATGTCCAGCTGATTTATGTCCGGCTGATTTATGTCCAGCTGATAGATGTTCGGCTGATTTATGTCCAGCTGATTTATTTCCAGCAGATTTATGTCCAGCTGATCGATGTCCAGCTGATTTATGTCCAGCTGATTTATGTCCAGCTGATTTATGTCAGGCTGATTTATGTCCAGCTGATTTATGTCCAGCTAATTTATGTTCAGCTGATTTATGTCCGGCTGATTTATGTCCAGCTGATTTATGTCCGGCTGATTTATGTCCAGCTGATTTATGTCCAGCTAATTTATGTTCAGCTGATTTATGTCTAGCAGATGTATGTCATGCTTTATGTCCAGCTGATTTATGTCCAGCTGATTTATGTCCGGCCGATTTATGTTCAGCTGATCGATGTCCAGCTGATTTATGTTCATCTAATTTATGTCCAGCTACTTTATGTCTGGATGATTTATGTCTAGCTGGTGTATGTCCAGCCGATTTATGTCCGGCTGATTAACGTCCAACTGATTTATGTCCGGCTGAATAATGTCCTGCATTGTTCTGACGTTGATTATTGTATAATTTATCAGTGACATACTTGCGCATCTCGTCCAGGATGGCAGATAATTGATGTTCAATACAATGGGGATTAGCATCTGATAAATAACGGCAATTAAGTGTTTCAGTGCATATAGATGTCATGGCTCTAGGGTAATTATTTAGCCTTTGGAAATCAATGTTCATACAGAATCGTTGTCGTAAATAAATCGCTATGACATTTGTAGGACAGTCACCTCTTGATGCTTTAATTATAATTAATCATCATGTATTTATTCCCAATTTTCTCCCACAATAATGACTATTTACATCTAGTATTTTAATCAGTAAAGAATGAGCAATTTACAAACTATTAAACTATACATTTGACGTTAAACAGACAGGCAGACGAAACATTGATTTATCATACCAACATCAATTTATTCTCAAAATGTCCCTGTGCATTGTACATATGCCATAAAACACACACCTAAATAAATAATTCACTTCGTAGTCATAGAGAGGCAAGATTCTCCACATGACCCTGATACAGGCAGGTATGGAATGTTAATGTTACAAGTTTCTCTTACATTTGAGTTTATGGATGTTCATGACAACATTCTATTTGTGTCATCTTTGATATATAATAACGTTTGTTATATGTTCTGTAGTCAGCCCTTATGTGACCCTTCAAATAAAATGTAAATCATTATTAACCGCCTCCGCAGTCTAGAGATAGAGCATCCGCCCGGCTCCGAGTCAGAATAATGTGTCTGAGTGGTGTATTCATGTTAAACTGCGGCATCTCAGTGAGCACTATGCATCAGCATCAGTCCCGAATAGTACAAGCAGCCACACACACACGTGCATGCACGTCGCTATATAAGTGCAATAATCTTGGACGCGATGTTAAACCCAATTTCACCTCACCTCACCTCACCACCTTTCGGATCAGATATAAATGATTAATACCAAGAACAACGTATTAACTTCTGGAAAACAACAATGGAAAGCTTACCAGAGCAAACATATGAATTGCGAATACTGTACAGTGATATCGTAAGATAACAATAATTGCACAATTAGTAAACTCCTAGTCACCATTAGGACGAATATACAGTAAACTACAGTTATAATGAACTTATATGGGACCACTAATTTTAGTTCGTTTTAACTGAAGATCGTTATGAGGATATATATATCATAGATACAGCAAACAGGCGGATGTTGCTTTTTCTCCTTGTTCTTTTATTATTCCATTTCATGTATATTGTTACAAGTGTATGTATTATGTATATGACAGCATTAACACAAGTTATAATTTTCATAGGTGAGGAGAGGCAGATTGTGTAGGATATGTCGTTATTAAGGTTCTTCTATAACGGACGGATGTTCATATTAAGAACATTTTATTTCCATATGGAATTATTTGGCAGTCTCAATACATTGGTTCCATCCTATCATATAATGGCAGTCTTCAAAAAGATATTTTCTGATGGCTTCTTTCATGTTGACATAACTCTGTCGTCTCTTCGTCAATACCTCGTCTCTTCATCACTCCCTCCTCTCATCACCACTTCCTCGTCTCTTCATCACTCCCTCATCTCTTCATCACTTCCTCGTCTCTTAATAACTTCCTCGTCACTTCATCACTCCGTCTCTTCATCACTCTCTCGTCTCTTCATCTAACCTTAATGTCTTCATCACTTTCTCGTCTATTCATCACTCCGTCGCTTCATCACTCCCTCGTCTCTTCATCACTCCCTCGTCTCTTCATCACTTCCTCGTCTCTTCATCACTCCCTCGTCTCTTCTTCACTTCCTCGTCTCTTCATCACTCTTCGTCTTTTTATCACTAACTAGTCCGTTTTTTAATGTGAACAGCATACATTAATTGTTTAGCTACCAGGTACTCACAAAAATACTGATTGTAACGGTACAATGCCCAGGCTTGCTGAACACAACGTCTGCACACCGTGCGATGCTGCAAACAGGAATGGCGAAAAACTAAGTTGATGGACAATTCAAAACACAATATCATCTCTAAACAAGTGATAAACAAGTAAACATCAATATTCTATTGTTGCATCTACGGAATCAATACCAAACTGCCACACCAACAGCTCGGAAAATGCCTGGGTTGAGACCAATCAGTAGCAGAAATGTACGCAACCTGTTGAGGGAGCAAAATATCAGACCGATGTCAAGCAATTCGCCCAGTTTTTCTTTCATGTCTTGTTTGATGTATACAGTATCTGAGGTTCAGAAGACAAGAATGGCGAAGTATGCTGTCCACAGATGAAAGCAGGTTTCATCTTGACAGCTCTGATTGTCGTGCTAGGGTCTACAGGCGTCCAGGAGAAAGTCAGTTTGAGGGTAAAAGTGTGATGGTATTGTGAGGCATCAACTTCCATGGGAGAACTCATCATTGTTAATGGCAATTTAAACGCTACCAGGACGATATGGTTCCAGATCATGTTCTCCCCTTTGTGCAGCAGGATAATGCCCGTCCAAAACGTTGAACGTGTTGTTACAGACTTTTAGAGAAAGCATAACATTGCTTTCCTGCCATGGCAGGCTGTTTATCCGGACCTCTTCCTCACAGAACATGTCTGAAATGAGATGGAAGGACACTTGTACTAGTCCAGACCAATGCCGATTTATGGTGTCAGCTCACTGAAATACCAAGCCTCAGTTTAAAATAAATACCCCACTCAGACACAGTGTACTGACTCCATGCTGAACAGTCTTTGTTTTAGGCTCTCAATGCCGAGCGCCAGACAAGGTAACAACAAGTACCATCATTTAACTTATTTTGGTATGACGCGGCCAGAGATCAAACCCTGGACCTTCCGCTCACTGGGCGGATGCTCTACCACTAGACCACGGACGCGGTTTATATATGCTTTTATAAAAAAAAACTATCTTTAAACTAAAGACGATTTGTGTCTGGTACTTCGTAATTGTCTGTTTTAACCACCCTGAATAAAAAAATGACCCCTTCATAACACCGTGTGGTTGGCACGTCATGATTGAGAGATCTAAATGATTTGATATAGCCCAGTTGCCGATTAGCCCATGTCACCGTTGCAACTCCTCGATCTGCTTGCTTACTTCAACTGCCAAATAAGATTTCCTCAGTTGGGTTCAACAGAAAACATTATGCACTCCCCGTGAAACATCAACGCGTATGCTATTATTAAAAAGCTGAGTTGTACATAGTTTTGCTGCACCACACCGCACAACATCAGTATCACCTGCATTTAAATAAAGCTGCAATGTGATTGAATGTCCAATAATACTTTTCATTCGGTTTATAAGCGGACACCAGTTAATCAATATTTATTGTCATGGTTATTTCTTTCAACAACGAAAATAAGGACGCTTTTTGGTAATTATAAATACCATCGCTTTCTCGCCATCATATGATGTCCTGCAACATCAATCTTGTACCTCTCAAAATGATGTCCAAGATGTGTATCAAGGAAAACTTTGTGTTACAGTACCTTTGTCCTGCGACCTCAATAGTGCCTCCGAGATGGGAGACCTGTCAAGGGTGGAAGTCATCTTGTCCCAGGGAGGGACGGACATAAACTGTAAAGACAAGATTGGTAGGACACCGGTGATGTGGGCAGCTGGCAATGGACATAAAGAGGTGGTTGAGTTACTTGTGAGTAAAGGAGCAAAGGTGTCAATTGTCGATAGATGCGGTAACAGCATCCTTCACTCCGCCGGTCGGGGAGGAGATGTAGAGGTTGTGCAGTATGTCCTTTCACATGACATGGTAGATATCAATGGTAGAGGAAGTTGTAGGAGAACACCGGTGATGCTGGCAGCAGAGAAAGGACATATAGCAATTGTTAAGCTACTTGTGGATAAAGGTGGTGATATGTCACTCGTGGATAAAAGACATGAGAACATCCTTCACTTGGCCTGTTTATGTGGACAGATAGAGGTTGTGAAGTATGTCCTCTCACAGGACATAGTTGACATCAACAGCAGAGGGCGGAAGAGGAAGACTCCTGTTATGCTGGCAGCAAGAAACGGACACAAAGAAGTGGTAGAGTTACTCGTTAAAAAAGGAGCTGATTTGTCACTAGCATATAATGCTGCTGGTAGCAACGTCCTTCACGTGGCCTGTTTTAAAGGCCATGTGGATGTGGTGAAGTATTTGCTCTCACAGGACACAGTGGACGTTAACAGCAGAGGGTGGAAGAAGCGAACACCAATGATGAGGGCAGCAGAAAAGGGACACAAAGAAATAGTAGAGTTACTCGTAAATAAAGGAGCTGATTTGTCACTAGCATATAATACTGCTGGTAGCAACGTCCTTCATTTGGCCTGTTTTAATGGCCATGTGGATGTGGTGAAGTATTTGCTCTCACAGGACACACTGAACGTTAACAGCAGAGGATTAATGAAGCGAACACCGATGATGAGGGCAGCAGAAAAAGGACATAAAGAAGTAGTAGAGTTACTCGTAAGTAAAGGAGCTGATGCGTCACTCGTGGATAAAAGCGGTAACAACATCCTTCACTTAGCCTGTCAGAGGGGACAGATGGAGGTGGTGAAGTATATCGTCTCCAAAGTTATTGTTGACGTCAACGCCAAGAATAAGAAACGTAAAACAGCAGCCAACATAGCATCATCACAGGGACGAGGAGACTTGATGGATCTTCTTGTGTCACATGGTGCTCACATGTCCTAGGTGAAATGTTTGTACAGACATTCATATTCTTACCGACATTGACAAATTGTATATAATCAGACATACCATCATGCTACAGACCATTAATGTGTTGAATGTATAGACATTGGCGTGTCGAATGCATGTACGTGTTACAACATTGACATGTTAAATATATTCATGTTGTTACAGACATTAACTCGTTGAATACATTCGGTTTGTTGCAGACATCGATGTGTTGAATACATTGATGATGCTACGAACATTAATGTGTGGAATGTATAGACATCGATGTCCCCGCCACATCGATGTGTTGATTACATTCATGTTGTTACAGACATTAACTCGTTGAATGTATTCATTTTGTTGCAGACATCGATGTGTTGAATACATGCATGTTGTTACAGATATTAACTCGTTGAATACATTCATTTTGTTGCAGACATCGATGTGTTGAATACATTCAGATTCTTTATTACAGTATAAAGGCCAAAGGCCCATAATACATGCTTGATTTTATTAACATGTACTGCGCTTACTGATGTACAGTGTCAATCATATGCAAGAAAGTTGGTACATGTTTCAAATGTTGACAATAGTTGTTTGACATCGAGACATTATGTTTCAATGAACTATAAATATCACTCATCATTTAAGAGTGCAGTTCCGTGTTGATAAACTTTCTGTAAATACCTCCAAGTATCATGAATAACATAATTATCTGATGACCTAATACTTTTGCAAGAAAGTGTGGTACATGTTCTTTAGCATCATAAATAGTGTGTTTGAATGAACTATAAATATCACACATCCTTTAAAAGTGCAGTTCTGTTTTTATTAACTTTATGTACATACTGACAAATATCATGAATAACATTATAGTTACCTGATGACCTAATACTTTTGCAAGAACGTGTGGTACATGTTTCAAATATTACCAACAGTTGTTTAACGTTATAAATAGTATGTTTGAGTGAACTATAAAAATCACTCATCCTTTAAGAGTACAGCTCTGTTTTTTTAAATACTGACAGGTATCATGAATAACATAATTATATGATGACAGAATACTTAAGCAAGAAAGTGTGGTACATGTTTCAAATGTTGACAACAGTTGTTTAACATTAAACATTATGTTTAAATGAACTATAAATATCACTCTTCCTTTAAGAATGCAATTCTGTGTTTATAAACTTTATGTAAATACTGGCAAGTATCATGAATAACATTATAATTATCTGATGACATAATAGTAATAAACGCCTGTAATGACGCTGATCTAAAGTGCTTAACAATGTACGTACTTCTAAAGGTATCGGGGCGGTCGGGTAGCCTAGTGGTTAAAGCGTTCGCTCGTCACGCCGAAGACCCGGGTTCGATTCCCGACATGGGTACAGTGTGTGAAGCCTATTTCTGGTGTCCCCCGCCGTAAAATTGCTTGAATATTGCTAAAAGCGGCGTTAAACCATACTCACTCACTCACTTAAGGTATCATACTGTTTACACACAAGTAATACATGATGTTCATCTTCAATAGGTGAAATACCTACCTTGAGACAAAAAGGGCACAATCGCATTAAGTATTCAATATTATTATAACGTCCCGTTTCTGTTGCAAGTCCATAATTACATCTAAATCTTGACATGGCTGTCCTGATAGATAAAGGTAGATTATAGCATAGATACAATTCAACATTGAGTAATGACTTAAACTGCCTATAATAATATGTCTTTGAAGAACTACCTAGTTCTGCAACCCATGTTTGATGGAGATTATCAAACAATCTCTGCTTGAATGTTGAAATGAATGTATCAATATGACCCACATCCGGTGCAACCCAAACAAATCCAAATCCAAATTGAAACAGAATATGTTTTATATGTGTGACCCAATTTACTCTTCCACTCTCATCCTGTGATTACATCATGCTATGACATTGAAATGGTAATTTATTGACATTAAATTAATACGTTTAGTCCAATATTTAACTGCTCTTGTCATACAAATATACTGGAGAGGAATTCTTCCACATTCCCCAAGAACCATATTTTTTGTAGTACTTTTATCAACTTTAAGTATCCATTTACATAATTTTATCTGTACACTTTCAACTCTCCTGCAGTAATTCACACCCCATATCTCTGCACCATAACAAAGAATGGGTTCAACTGTAGCATCAAATATTTTAAACAAATCTTTACATGATAAATTACCAAATTTCCTGGAATATGTATAAATAGCCAATAAAGCCTTTTGTTCTTGGGCGGTAAGTGAAAGATGTGCCTTACTCCAAACAAGTTTGGGCGTACAAACCAGACCCAGATATCTATATGTCGATACAACATCAATCTGTTTCCCATAAAAATACCACTTCTCATATGCACACAAAGGGCCTCCATTACGAAAAAACATTATCTTTGTTTTATTCAAATTAACTTTCATCCCCGTTACATCACAAAAGTGTTCCAAGGCATATATACTTTTTTGTAACTGTAAACACGAATCTGCCATAGATGACACATCGTCAGCATACATCAAAACAAACATCTCTTTAAAGGAAGGTGAAACATAGATACCCCTGCCACCAGTTTCTTGCATGAAGTACATTAACCTGTTTATAAAAATAATTAAAAAAACTGTGAACTTAAGGTACATCCCTGCCTCGTACCAATGTTGCACCTAAAATAATTTGATAAACCACCAGAGAGTCTTACACAAGCACTTAAATTTGAATACATTGAAACTATTATCTTAAAAAAATTGCCACTAACTCCTACTTCATTTAAGCTTTTTAACAAAACGTCATGTTTAATCGAATCAAAAGCCTTTGAAAAGTCTATAAATAAACAATAAAATCTTCCTTTTTTCCTATGGGCATATTTTTGGGCAATAGATTGCAAACAGAAAATACTATCAATAGTGGAGCGATTAGCTCTGAAGCCAAACTGTGCTTCATAAATGACATTATGTTCGTCACACCAAAGCTGCAGTCTGGAGTTAAGAGTAGAGCAAAAAACTTTACAAATAATATCTATCAAGGAGATTCAACGGTAATTATCAATACAGTGTTTATCTCCTGACTTAAATAAAGGACATATTATAATTTCCCCCAATTCTTTAGGGAATTCACCATTATCAAATATGTTGTTAAACAATAAGACCATCACAGGTAGAATATAATCTGATGATGCTTTCAGAAATTCAGCAGCAAGGCCATCAGCACCAGGGGATTTATTTTATCCCAACTTTTCAATATGAAACAAAACTTCCTTCATAGTAATAGGGCCATTTAAGTTAAATGTAGACGCCTCTTCTACCTCCGTATTACATATGTCACAATCAAAACCCTCAGTGAATATGTTATCTACACACAGAAGGTTACTAAAATGCTGTATCCAATCATAGCTACTAATTTGCTGTGAAATGCTTTCACCATAAGCAGCCTGTTTTAGCCTTCTCCAAAATAATTTAGCATTGTTTCTACAGTAAATTAAATTTTGTCTCATATCATTCTGGTAAACATATCTCTTAAATCTAAATTTAGATTTAAACAAGTTGCGCAACTTTCTAAATTCACTAAAGTCATAACCCTGGTCTCTATGGGCCCGAAGAGCATGATACTTTCTATTTTTTAAATCTTCTAAATCGCTATCCCACCATGGTGGTTGATTACGTATTCTTATAGGGCATCCTTTATATATTCTTTTAAACTGTTCTGCTGAGGACTGACATATCTTGACAATAGAGTCTAAAACTACTTCTGCATCATTGATAATCTGATCACCCAAAACATCATAAATATCTGATAGGTTTCATATAAAGTTCTCCATAAATACTTGACATTCATTGCCATTCCATATATATCTTGGCCACTCACTGACAACATTAGGACCCTTATCAGTATCAGAAAAAACTCACTTACACAACCTTCATGTTCATTATTAATATCATCCAAGGAAATTCTTAACGAGCAGTACAATGGAAAATGATTTGATGCATCACTCATAGCTATACCAAAATCTGATACATTAGAAAAGATAGCTGTTGATGACATCATGTAGTCAACAATACTCTGGCCATTATGTGTAAAACAAGTGAAATTACCACATTTGTCATTAAACAATCTGCCATTGAATAGATGTATACCAAATGTACAACATGTTTCGACCAATGTTTTACCATAGTTATTATGAGAAGTATCTTTATTAGATCTAGGCATACAAAAATCGTCCTTTGGGTATCCATCAATGCTATCACCATTACTAGATACAAAATTAATATTATTATCTGGAATGTAGTCCTGAAAATCCTTTGTTCTGGCATTAAAATCGCCAGCGATATATATTTCTTTATCACGATGGTCACTTACAATAGTTTCCAAATACTGTTCAAACACAACCATGCCATCATCGTTGTTGTGATATATAGGGGAATTTGCCGGAGAAATGTATAGGAATATCATAACCGTATCAGAGTTCCATGAAAGTTTAGTGGTTTTAAAAAGGAAAACAACCATGTCATGGAAACCATCATAAATTCTAGATATTTAGTTATGTAAAATCCAGTATTCCTTTATAAGAACAGTCACCCCACCACTAGGTCGGCCACGACGTTTAGTTTTCCGGCGTTCACTGTTAAAAGATCGAAAACCGTACATGAAAGTTGCGAAATCGTCAGGAGTTGTAGCAAAAGATTCACCGAATGCTATTATGTTGTAGTCGTGACATTAGAGTTTTACCTGTGAATGTTCATTATAGTGTTTCCTTAATCCTTCAATGTTCCATGAAAGAATACGAAAGTCAAAAGGGCCATGGGCGTTTCTTCATTTTCTTCGAGTATTGTCCCGTGGAGTTACCTCCCTTGAGCGACCGGATTGATAACCGGGCCAGTCCTCAGCTGCAGCAGCCTCATTATCAGTAATATCACATGCAATATCATTAATCTTGACAACTTTTTTCTTCTCTCGGTCAATCATGAACACATCATTGTCCACAATTAGCTTGTTCACACGCATTTTCGG